CAAGGGGTTTAAATGTCAAGGAAATAAATTTCAGTAGGACATCAAGGATGGTTAGATAGCATCACTGAAGCAATGAGCATGAAACTGAGCAAACTCAGGGAGGCAGTGAAGGACAGGAAGGCCTGGCGCAATATGGTTCATGGGGTCACGAAGAGTCGGACACGACTTAACGACTAAACAACAACAACAAGGACAAACAGAAATACCGTAACTCATTATATATTTGATTTTTATTGAATCCCCTTTTCCCATATGTGTAAAACCAAATTATATTCATCCATTAATATCTGTTGTGTTATCAGTTTAGCCAGGCCTAGATTTTGACCAATACTTCTTTATCTTTCCATCTTCATTAGTTTTAATGAAAGTAGTATTTAGTTGGATTTAGTGAAAAAAGTCCTTGCATTATAAAATACATAATACTGGTGGTTTGTCAGCACAAATGTATATTTTAATGTAATAAAGCAATAGAGAAATGGATTCAGAATGAGTGCTTGTTTGCTATATTCATTAATAGTTCTGTGCATCCTTCCCCACTATTCTCTCAGTTTTCCTTGCCTCTCTACTATGTCTGAAGGTGGGGTTTGTTTGTTTGTTTGTTTGTTTTTTGATGATGCATTGCCATACAGCTTCCTGATGTCAGAAGGAATCTGGCAGCACCTTTTTAAACTAACATATTTTATTAAAAGGCATAAGCTTTTGTGAGCTGCAGCCTACTTCATCAGATGAATAAAGTGGCTAAACTGATGTAGGATTTAAACTGGGGTGAGATGGGGGGGAGGGAAAGGAGAGAAAGACAAGTTGGTTATGCAAGAGACAGATTACAAAGCCCTTATCAATCAACAATTATAATGTGTTAAAAACTGATCGTGTTTGCTGAGACCTGAGATTGCCTGAAACCTTTTGGTATATTTGAGTTCAGCAACCTTTTGTTCAAAGGTGGAGATAAAGTCTAGTTTTTCCAAAACAATCATGTTGAGGTCTGCTATAGAGTGTCCTGGGAGATTGAAATGCTCTGATACTACTGTGTCTTTGTTTTGCCCCCACATCTACACCAACAGCACCATCACATACCTCAACAAATACACACACAAGATTAGAGGTGCCTTTACATGCTTTTTGTCCAATGTTATATAAGTCATTTGTCAGCAGTGCCTTTCTGGATTCTATGTAGGACAAACTTAGTTCTACATTGTACTGGGACAAGCTTTGCAGAAAAGAACTAATGGAGACAAAATTGACATCAGGACTCAAAACAAGGACAAAGTAGTATCAGAGCATTTCAAATCTCCCAGTTTACTCTATAGCAGACCTCAACGTGACTGTTTATCGCAAAATTATCACTTGGCTCTATTTTAGAAAGCATAATTCCTGACCCACTGCCAGTATTCAAAATAGCTTTGATGGCAGTGTCAGTGGTCAGATAACTTGCAGTGGCTGTCTTGGTATGAATTCTGGCGTGTCAAATTGGAGAGGACTTTTTGCCCTTTGCTTGTCCTATTCTAGTATCTAACCTGAATACTTTAACCCACTTATGGGTACCTATGTGATACTTGAGGCATATCCTTAAGTGGAGAGAGCAGGAAATAACAAGCCAACCACAGAGGGGAACGGAAATGAATCAGGGCCATTTCTTAAGTAGCATGCATGCTTTGCAGAACAGAGAAGCCAGAGTGTTCTAGCAAGTGTAAGAGTACGTGAACAGGAGAGATTCAAATGGCCGCGAAGATGCAAGCAAACTGAAACTGGGTAGGAGGATCCAACGGTTTTGTTTTTCTGGACAGAAAGAAGGAAACTGGCTAGACAAATTGCAGGAAGCAAGTTTTTATTCTATCTGCATGGCAGAAGGTGTAGAAATTACAATTTGGGGTATGTCACTGAAGTGCAAATATATTCTTGATATGAAGACCTCTTCACTGAAGGTTAGGGACCATAATCTTCCATGCTGGCCCAGTGCAGGTTGGTAGACAGATGTTGATTGTCTTCCCAGTTTAGGATAGCCAAAGTCACCCTGTGCCTAAGGGAGGAATAGAACGTGAGTCTCCCTACTCCTAATCCGTGTGTGTATGTGTGTGTGTGCGTATGGATTAGGAATAAAATTATTAAAGACTTAAGGAACTTAGGGACATTGATTTGTATGTTAAACTATATTGATAGCTACTATTTTAAGAATTGCTTTTTGTAAAATATGTTTATTAGCGACTTTATTAAAATTAGTTACATACTGATGTAAATATGTTCATGTTCATATGTTTGCAATTATACTAAAAATAATGCAATCTTAATACATTTCTACTAAGAAGTAAGTTCATTAATGTATGAGATTGCATTCAAAATCTTTTTTATCTCTTGAACTGCAATTAGTCTGAAAAGGAAATAAAGTTCAATAAAGTAATGGATGTGTATGCTAACTGTATTTGTTCAGAGTTTTTAAAAGACTATCAGAGTGATAGTCATCCGGAATTTACATTTCAGGATGAGAAGAAATATTCTAGTATAGAAGAGTTAATTTTTCCCTTCTCTCTTCAGGTATCAGGAGGGTCCACCATAAGCCATATCCACACTGAAGAATTAGCCAGCCAAACAAGTGAAGATACAAACCTGTGTGGTTGAGAATATAGCGCTATGTTCCAAGCTAAGGGACCATCCAGTACAGCCTCTTCTAATGTATGTACAGAAATCAGTGTCTTTAAATTAAAGAGTTACTGCTACTTCATAGAGAGTAAATTGGGAAGTAATATTGTTCATACATTGCACTAAGTCATGGTTTGCTTTAACCATTTTTTTCACACATGGTTATTAAAGTAATGGCTGGGATCACATATAGTGATAAGTTATAATGCAATTGATGTGCTTTTGACTTAGCATTATGTGTGAACCAAGCAAAATTATGTTACTTCTAGATGGGTGACCATATCAATTGTGCAAATAACACGCTTCTTGTGGTACCTTAAATAACAAGAAGATTATTATGGCATGATTTTTAATGGAATGGAGTCTATTTAAAAAGAATAATTTTCTCATTGGCAGGAATATGGGTATAAAGGAAAAACTGGAGCCAAATGGTCATGAATGGCAAGTGCTATTCAACTAAAGCATAAATGTATAGAAAATAATAATTACTTATTAAAACAACAGTAATTTGTGTTATCAGTATTATCCCAGCATTATTGGTGTAATAAAAACCTGTAGTAGGACAGGAATCTGTGGTTCAAATTTGAAGTTCAAATGTCAAATTCAATAATTTCTGTCCATTTGGAACTACATAGAGACATTACTTTCTTTCTCACTCCTGTAATTTAATATGCTAGGTAGATTGCGCTCTAATTATTACTCTATCTAATATGAAATATGAAATATTTTGTATACTTTTAAGCTTTAATTTTTCTTGACATTTTGCATTTCAGAACCATTGGGCCCTTTGTGTTTTCAATTCTTCTTGCCCTTACCTTTTGATATGTGTATGTGAATGTATCCCTCCTTGGCTCTCATTCAATGAATCTGTAAATTCATTCATAGAAATATCTGTGAATGAGCTGGAAATAAATAATAATTTAAACCCTAAAAAAATCCTATGAATTCGAATGTTAGTTGAACAGGATTCACATACTGTACACATCTCAACTCTTGGCATTATCCATTCATTATTGGCTGAGAGGTGACGTGCAGTCAAAGTAGGGAGCTAAGAATAAAGTTCTAAAACAGAACAGGCTTAGCAAAACTCAAGACTTGTTTCGTGTATTTTGATCTCTATCAGCTTCTCATTGTTTCTTAGGACAAATGTGACATCATCCTCTATTCTAATAAATCTAATAAATAAATGGTAGTTTTATGTAAGTAAATATATTTACCGGAAAACAGTTACAGATTATATCAGAAGGGATTGTATCTATTTCATTCCATATATGTTGCCCAGATATTTCAAACAATTCATTTGAAGATGTGATCATACAGATTTACCTGAATATGTTCTTCCGCAGTGTAACTTGTGGATTTAGTAGTCTTTTTTCTCCATTTCTTTTCTTTTTTCTTTTTACACATTCTATAAAGCAATATCATGTCTCTCTGACGTTTCTGAGGGTTTATTATTTTTTTTCATTAATATTGCTCTTGGCTAATTGTTAACAATAATCAAACAACTAAAGAAAGAGTCCAAGAAAAGTACTAGCTTGCTAATTTTTCATAAGTAGTTATAATATAAGTCAGTTGATCGATTGTAGTTTGTTTTCAAATCTATAAATATAATTTGCCATGCACGAATGAGCATTAATTTTCATTTCCCTCTCCCTCTTTTTTTTAGGAAGCAAAGAGCAACACAGGGACATCCATTGTGCAGAGATCCAAGGTAGTTATCACTCCTTTTTCTTCTTTCTGGCATGAATATTACTTCAAAAGGTTGTGACTGTTGAATTAATAACCTGTTTAAGGCTGCATGTTGAATCATTCCTGTCTTTGATCACTCAATTGGTCAGAACTAGGTGGCTTATTTATCGCTCAACTACACAATTAGTCAGTCACTTGCTTAGCAAACCTAACCCGAAAGGGGAAGTTGGAGATTTGCCAGGTTGAGCTTGTCTGGATGATAAGGCAGACAGTACCAACCATTCGCTCACTGGTGCATTCACCACCACCCTGGCTCAGCCTCCTGTTACCTCCCTGGCAGATGGTGGAGCTGAACGCCAGTTGAACTAAGTACATGAGTTTCCATGTGTGGTTTTAAAATTTTAAATAGCCACAATGTGTGAAGATTAAGATTGAGGATTGTGCTACAGATTGAGATTCAGTCTCAGTCCCAGTGAAAATCACTTCCCACTTCCTATAAACTGTTAATTTGATCAGGAGTGAAGCTTTCATTGGCATAGTATGCACTGGGGTTAAAAAACAAATAGCAGAAAAACAAATAATCAGAGTCTAATAAAATAGAATTTGAGTTCACATCCATCTGAAAAATTAGATCAATTGTTAAGTAAAGTAGAAAGAGCCTATTCTTCATATTCTTTTTTTCTGTCTTTTGTCTCTTAGCGTATATGCAATTATAGGTTATTGCAACATTCCTCCACCCAGTGGCTTCTTCAAACCATTATCTCTAACTTGTAGTAATTATGTTGGCTAAAGCAAGAGAAATTATAGCTCAGGATAGCTAGAACAGCCATGGTAGAGGAGGTGGGTTAGTGATAAGTCCTTTACAATGATTTTCAACAGCATTTTTTTTTTTTTTTGCTATTCTCTAAATCAGTGTCTCTCAACTTTGGCAACTTTCAGATGTGCAGACTTCAACTCCCAGGATTCCCCAGCCAGCATGAATTCTGGGAGTTAAAGTCCACACGTCTTAAAGTTGCCATGGTTTAGAAACACTGCTCTAAATATTGCACTCTGAATTCCAGTGTCCTGCACTTCTTAGATTTGGGACATTCTTCATAAGCTACTGCTACAATAGCTTACTTCAGCTATTAAAGCACTTAAAAAAAACAGGATGCCTCTCAAGATTGCATTTATTTACTACCAGTCAAACATATCTGAAGTTAGGAAGCCTGGCATATGAGTCAATGCATGCTACATTCAAACAGCTTTGAAACTGTATCTTCACAATTAAATCACTGATAATTGTACATTGTCCTTTTCCCTTGCCACCTCCTTTTGTGGAACTTAATTTCACCCACATCATCTTTTACTCTGTCATCCAGTCATTCAGCCTGAAGGCCCAGGTGAAGGAGACGTGCAGCGCCTGCCAGAAAACTGTCTATCCTATGGAACGCCTGGTGGCTGATAAATTTGTCTTCCATAACTCCTGCTTTTGCTGTAAGCATTGCCACACCAAACTAAGGTAAGAGAGGAAGCAAGGTAAAGGGAACATGTGGGTAGGGGCTGAATCTCCTGGTTGTTGATTCTGTATCATTCCCAATACCCGACATTAATTGTAATTCAGCAGCTTAATTAGGAACTGAGAATAGGTTCAGCTCTAACAAAACTGTTTTTATATGACTTCTTGTATTTTTCAGCTTCTGTACCATGCACTGAATGTTACCAGAGTGTGCCAAATATATTGGCTTGAGTCAGAGGAGTATTTTCCTTTTTCTTTGAGGGCAACCATTATCAAAGTTCTTTAAGATTCCACTTTAGACAATTGTTAATATTTAAAGCAAAGGGCAAGAGGATATTAATCCTTTCTCAGCCTGCTGAGGTTGTTAAAACAAATTAAAGAAATAGGAGATTTCACTGTAAGAAAGAAAAAGCTTAATATCCATTTGTAGATAGCAGTACCACCTAGCTGATCTCGGCTGATCTAGAAAAAGTTAAGCAGAATTGAACATGCTTTGCACCTGAATAGATGAAGCTGAAAATTATCTCAGAAAAAAGTAATGGCAAACTACTTCTGTACTGTTGCCAAGAAAATCACCTGGATGTTGAGCTTGCATCAGATAAGACTTGACTCGACCAAGCTTAGTCATGGCACAGGAATTGTCAAAAACAGGACTAAATTAGGCTTCTTTCTGCATTCTGACATGGAAAGAAAACATGGATGTTTATAGCATTTGAACATTCAAATGATTTCACAACAGTCTTGCCTGGTACATACAATAATTACACTTCCACTGTGGGGTAGGTATTATGCTCATATTACAAATATATGTGATGGCTGAATCTAAAAGGTGCTATGTTGCAAATTCACAGGAAGGGCCTGTATAACAGCAAACTTGTAACGTCCTTTTTCATAGCATAACTGCCAGTATACTAGCTTTTTTCCCCATTGTTAAGATTGTGCATTTTTCAGCCCTTTTCTAGTAAGCCCTAACATGTTCCTTTTATTTCTATTCAGCTTGGGTAGTTATGCAGCTCTCCATGGGGAATTCTACTGCAAGCCACATTACCAGCAGCTGTTCAAGAGCAAAGGCAACTATGATGAAGGTTTTGGGCGCAAGCAGCACAAGCAACTCTGGTTGCAGAAAGAGGTGGAGAATGGTACTGATACAGCATGACCCACAGCCTATAGTTCCCCACTTTGAGACCCTTGATATGGGGATGAACTGAGCTGATGGAGAGCAGTGGTAATTGCAAGATGGCTAGGAGCAGGAAAGGCTAAGCAAGAACAAACTATAGTTTTAATGGACTGTGGAAAGAACTAAGTACCCAAAAAACTACACAGACCATATTGAAAGTGGGACATTTTGCTCTACTCATGCAAAAGCAGGAACACTAATGCTACAAAGAGGATAGGATCATACTAGTAATGCAATTACAATCAGGATTGTAGCTAAACAGTTTGATTAGACAAGCTGTAAATGTGATATTTCACATCTGTACATCTCCTTGGCCAGGAGGAGCCTATGGTGACTACACATTATTCCATATAGCATGTTAAATAAAACCAGTCTCCCCTTTAGCAAGTCAACCAGCATCCTAACAGATTAACTTGGATGTTGCTTTCCTTACTCTTGTATCTCAAGTCAAAGAAACTTTTCCAGCAGGCTTTAGGCAATTCTTACATTTTCTTTCTTTACATCCAATTTTGAAGGAGATGGAGCACTATCTATTCCAAATATCTGGCCAACTGGATAAACAAATTGTGCTAATAGGCAGCAACACATTGAATTCTGACAATGAATTTACTTAGAATCCTAAATATAGCCTGAATCTCCTTTCTTATGAGGAGGCCACGCACTTCTGCTGCAGAGACTATACACATGATGTCTAGGAGTGAATATGCATGTATTCAGCTTTAGAAATTCTAAACAACGTTGAAATAGAAAATACAATTCTTGGATTTTTCAAGCAAGCATATAAAAACACTCCTGAACACTAAGAGGGGTGGGGGTAGGATTGGTGTAACAGTTTCAGAAGCATGTATTAGTCCAAAGTCATGGGGAACTTGGCTCTGAAAGGAGATTGCAGACCTTGCACCCTAGTTCTCATCAGCTCTGTTCTATCCATTCAGCCTTAAACTCTGGGGAAGAATTCAGTATCTTTTATATCTGCCTTTTTCAGTGGTATGTGATAAGCTGAAGCACACTCGTGGTGTTTGTGTCCAGAGTTGCGCTGTCTTATTTTTGTAATATAAGTTTTCTGAGCCTTTCTTCTTTGATGTTGTTTTATGAAAGTTCTGAGTAGAGAGATGAAATGTACAACTTCTGCTTCAGTATCCAAGATTTCTTGCTCACAAGAAACAATGGTAAGAATTCTGCATGGGAGAACAATCCAGCCATAATTTTATGCATTAAAAAACCAGCAGTTTAATATTACCTGCTATAAGAAAAACTATGGTTTATAATACAACACAATATAGATCTGACTCACCAGATGAGTTCAGCAGCTTTAAAACATGCCTTCCTTAATAAAAGATACAGTGTTTAGTGCCTACATTCCAGAATATGCAGAAAAAAGTGCTCAGTATATCAGGCTGTGAGAGAGGATGAGCATCTGTTAAACTGCCTTTCCCACATTTAAACAAATCCCACAATTCAAAGCCACGTAGGTATAGTTCATTCATCTGGTTGTGGGTTTTAAAAAGAACATCTGATGAAATAATTTGTTACTCTGAAGAATTACTTAAGGTAAAAAAAATGTACAATTGAGACAATTTTCACTATACCAAAAAGGAAAAGGATGGTTGTGTTGAGAATTCATAGTAGGTTCTTGCAAAATGGAGCTATTGTAGCTTCCTCAAGCAGCCTCTGACAATACAAGAGATAATGGCATACACAACTAGCTGAAAATTATATTTTATTGTAAATAAAAGTTACACATTGGCCTGGCTTTGCACCGCAAGCCTCGGTCAGTATAGAAATTCATAAAAATTAGAAAGAAACAAGTACTTCAAGGTCTTCTGTACACTCCAGGTCCAGATGATAAATTACACAATGCATCCAATAACAAATGTGGCACAAACTATTGATTTGTTAAATTCTACAAAGCTCCCTTTTTGAGTTTCAATGAATTAAACTTCTGCTCAAGCACAGGCAGTGTAAATATACAGGTAGTCCTCACTTAACGACCACAATAGGGACCAGAAAATTGGTCATTAAACAGGGTGGTCATTAAGTGAGTCACCATGTGACTGGATCCAATTTTACCACCATTTTTACAACAGTTGTTAAGGGAATCATGTGGTCATTAAATGAATCCAGCTTCCCCAATGGACTTTTTTTGCCGAAATTCACTTAACAACCATGTGATTCACTTAATGACCATTGTAAAAAAGGTCGCAAATTGCAATCGGGATCGCGGGGGAGGTGGTGCGATGGTTTGCGATGGTCATAAGTGCAAGTACAGGTTGTAAAGTACTTTTTCCAAGGCTATCGTAACTTCAAACTGTCTTTAAGCGAGGACTGTCTGTACAGCAGGCTGCAGGCTTAATTACCCAATCTCCGTAATTTCTTTGGCAAACTGGAGTCAGACATACTACCAGATTCAAAAATACTAATTCAACAATTTGATGTGAAGAGGATCTCAGATTAGTTCTGAAATCTTGCAGAAATATGTCACCAAACAAGACAATCTATATTTTTTGCAATCTCTCAAACTTCCAAATCATATGTTAAATTAGCCTACATATATGAGGCAATTTGGGAAGATAATGAGATACATGTTGTCTCATGATGATAGCTACTATACAAAAAGTTCCTTTAAATATACCCTGTTTAGCAGAAGGCCGGCAGGTGAAGCTGGAGTATACAGAATCGTCGTACCAAGCCTAAACACAACTTTGTTTCCTTGCTTATAGTTATAGTTCTGTGAGAGAATTTGCAAAATATCCTTTGTTCTTTCACTGTCTCATTTGCACTGATAAGGAGCAGAAACTTTTACCAAAAGCAAATCTGCAAGTCGAATTCCAAAACTGAATTTTGTGAGAGAAATTGCCTAGAATAAGGGGTTTTATAAGGCAAAAATAATGACAGTCTGGAAGTACTTGGCATGGGAGATAAACTACAACAGAAAGGCGGCATTTTTAAGGCTATAATCCTTTATGCATTTACCTGGAAGTAAGCACCCCTGAACTCAAGGGGGCTTTTGATTTGATATTGTAGGACTCCAGTGAAAATTATCTAGATGTAATTTCAGGGACAAATTTATTACACCAAGTAGCAATATAACAATGTCTGCAATCCAGATATTACAAAGACTGTTTCCCACATCATGGCCTTCTTTTTCAGATTATCTGTATGCTATTCACACAATTTATATATACTATGGCATCGTAAATAAGGCATGTAACAAACCATTTCTTGTTTGTTTAAAAATACAGGTTGAAGTGCCACAGAAATGCAGACATACAAAAGTTGTGAGACCAATATGTGAAATTTATCTTAAAATGAGGTTACACCGGGACTGTGCAGATTGCTGTTGTTTTGTAAAGAACTGGCAATAAGCTCAATCAGGATTGCATGTTGATACTGAATATCAACAGTAACAGGATGGGACTGATGGTCTCTAATGCCCCTATTCATTCCTGGCATTCTATCATTCTAAACTGCCATTTCTAAATTGCTATTCTATTTTGCTTCTTCCTTTCTCCCAAAAAGACCAGCAAGGAAACAAAGAGGCATTTTGACCTGACACATCTTGTTATAAACATAATCAAAATCTTTGCAAAACCAGCTGCTTCTTTCCCCTTTTTAAAATTCACAAAGGTGTCAATTTCTCCCCTCCCCATTCCATAACAGTTGCTATACATATATATATATATAAACACGAACAAATATGATATAAATAAAAAGAATGAGACATCACAATTTCTTTACATGAAGTAAAATGCTTAGTAAGAGAGTGATATAAATACATTTGTAAAAGTGCACCGCTGACCATGTGAGTAATGCTTTGGCTTGTTTCTTATGCCGAATCAGATCCACCCAGTGAGGAGCCAAGGCAACACGTCACATTCTCAAAGGCAGGTGAGGGAGCAACTCTGCTACTGGATATTTGCTAAAATCAAAGGAAACGCCATAACTCAACATTGTTGTCTTGAGAAAGAATGTGCATGTTTTAGGACAGCAAACCAAGACCTACAGACATGTTGGTGAATGAGGTAAAAAAGGAAATCACTGTAGCAGTTTTAGATCTGCCCTGACACTTTGGCTTTTATTTGTCCTAAAGCTATATACATTCTTAAAGAAATATGATGGAAAACTTAAGCAGCTCTAGATACTTGCTCTATACTTTGCCACAGCTACAAGGGTGGAGACAGGAGGAAAGAACTGCTCTCTTTTGACCACATATCAATTGCATTCTACTTTAAAAGTAGTACTTGTGATTAACTGAAAGCATTGCTCCCCCACCCCGCTTTCACCAACATGTCAGGCTGGTGGGTTGCCATCTTGCAATACAAGCAACCATTTGCAACTTTGTATAAAATGACAGATGGGAGTGAATCTCAGTTTTGCAGAGAAGCAAACACTTGACAATTTCCTAAGTTGTTGGCTAGAGCAAGGGTAGATTAATATATCTTTGAAAGGTTAACAGCAAACTGAAGTGTCACAATTGGCAGAATGCTGTTTGCAGTGCAGAACGTTGGTCACATCCTTCACCTGTCCTAATACTCCTGGAGTGTACATGAATTTGCTACATAATGAGTAACAGAGATATATCTCATAGAGGTCCTGTCTGAGCGAATCTGGTTCTAATCCAACATTTCATAAAATAAAAGCATGTCCTTGGCAACCAAACATTTGAGAGATCAAGAGGTTACCTCTCAGATTGTCCCCAGTTAAATTTGACAGAAGTGCTTCTTAAAAAATCCAAAGTTTCTTAGAAAACAGTTCAGAATTTGAGATTAATAAATGGCAGGACTGCAGAACTGTAGGAAAAAATGGTCTCAATTAGAGCTTTAGAAACTTTAGAAACTTCAAGGTTAGAAGAGCATATGGAAAACCCAGAATGAATAACTGCAAATGAGCGATACCACCTCGCCTTGCCCCAAGTTCTCCATTACAAGCACCTGAAAAAGATACCTCTGTTCAGTATGAACTATCCTATCTAGGATCAGCAGCAATACTTTGCCTCCCCTTGAAGACTGATCTTGGCAGCACTGAAATAATCTTTGGTTGGAAGTCTGGGCAAAATGTTTAAATGGTTGTTCTGCAAAAGGGAGATTTGGATGGAAGAAGCTATCTAATGGAGGCATACAAGACTGAATGGCTCACAGTGATACAAATTGGGGTAGTTTCACATGTCGATTACAAGTGTGGCATAATAACTTAGCTGTGTGTAACCCTACTGAAGGGAACTTTTTATCAGCCGCAACTAATGACCATCTAAAGGCAGCACACTTATACCATGCATTTCTCACAATACTTGTCACCACTATCTATTGCATGATATCCTGTGCAACACAATCCATAAAATGGCACATTCTACAATCTGAATAAATTATGCAAATAATGTAAAATTCCATATACATTCCTCATTTTGATTTTTTATTGGCTTTTGCTATTCTTAGGAGCACTGTGCCCTGTTCAACCCCCTCTGATTTCTAAAAATGCTTGAGCATCTCCCCTATGAATTCTTAGTTTCTCTGAAGCCATAAAGACTAGAAGTTGCTTTAAAAAAATAGAAAGGTATTGAGCCCCACAATACTGATTTTTTTGCTAGATAAAAATTCTGTGTTAGCCCGTGATTACTGCATAGACACAGAACATATAGTCCTGCATTGCACCTTTAGACAACCCTGCCAAAATGGAGCTTGATTTCCTCATTTCATTCAGGGAGCCTTTATTGTCTAGATTCCATTGTGCTTTTGTTCCATGGGAACCCCCACTCTCTCATCATCCAGGAACATGGATATAGGAGAGGGCTAAAGAGAAGGAGAAAGAACACCCTGCCTCCAGCTCCTTGGCTTATCATTGTAAAATAGTATTCACATATTTTTTTAAATCAATATTTTCTGAACACTTTCAGATGCTGAATAC